TTTCCTTCCTTCCTCTCTCTCTCTCTCTCTCTCTCTCTCTCCCTCTCTTTCCCAGTAAAACTTAATCCCGTCACTAAACTCAAAAAAAAAACCTTCAAATTCGCTATCATCCTCCATTATTTCAGTAGTTTTTTCAGATTCTATCACTTCGAAATGAAGCATTTCCATTTTTCGTTGACATACTGCAAACCTTGATTGACTCTCGATAATGATTGCATTTTCTCTAAGAGTAACAATCTGACGTGTTTCAGCTAAAACATCATCATCCTGCTGCAACAAAAAATCCGTATTTCCGACAGAATTACTGCTGAAAATTCGGGAAATCCGAGGCAAAAAATTGGCGATATAAGCGATATAATCTACAGCTGATTATTATATATATATATATTGATTTTCTCGGAAGAATATAGTATTTAAGCATAAAAGTTTGGCATTGATTTATTTCAGAATCTCAGATATAAGTTTATTTTGAACAAATTTTGTTGGCTCATAATAACCGTATGTACCTTACCCGATGAGCATGTCTCGTCATAAGTGGCTCAATTGTCGCAAAAACACGCCGATCATTATAATGTCCTTCACCAATAATTTCAATCTTCTCATTAATCACAAAATTATTTTCCTTATCTCTCGAAATGTTTCGTTTCAGTTCCACATAAACAGGTCCTATAAAATTCATTTTGATTATTCCGATAAATAATTCTTAAGTAATTAATAAGTTTCTTTTTGAGCATTGCATAACAATTGCTTTCTCACAGTTGCATAATTTATAATAATTGATTATTTTATTAAATTTAGAGTGCAAAGTTGATAAAAGATTGATATGAGACAGATTACAAGAGCCCTAAAGAGATATTATTCTTTTAAAAGCGAAAGAGATATTGAGTATTATCATTGGACTATTAGCATCTTCTAAAACCTTAATAGATGAATAAATTTTAGAACAAAATCTGGTTTACTGATAAGGATTGTTTGTGGAAAATAAGCCAAATTGCATTTCACATGTCATCTCACATATTTGATAGTGATTTTTCAATTCTTCAATGATACCTTGAATGTTGCAAAACGGTGTTGAATCCATTTTCATACTTGTTAGGATACCTTGCCTGAACCATTCCATTTCATCATCAGACCATACTTTCTCGGTCTCCAGTTCTTGTAGACGTTTGTCTCCAACGACTGTAACGTATATATACCATACTCGAATTCAAGCTTGTCAATTTAAATAGCTTTTGATCAAATTACTAAAAAAATTGGTTTTAAAAGTAAAAAGTTTAAGGATTCCAAATTAATTTTCGATTTTTGTTTTGAAAAGTATTCAGTATGAAGTATTTCTGATTCATTAGTAAATTTCAAATTAAAAAAAGAAAATTAATTTGTTAGTATTAAAATTACTATCATAGGTAGGAGGGAGTTGTGAAGATGATGTAATATCCAAACTCTTTGTTGAACTGCTATCGGATAAAGATGGATGAGCACTTCTTTGTCTGCAACAGTTACTTTCCCTTTACTTAGGTTCGGAACATAAAGTTACGGAATAAAAGTCGATAAGGGTCAAAGTTATGGAATAAAGGTCAACAGTAGCAAATTAAGAAATTATTCTTTTAACAAACTTGCAAATTTAAAATTCTAGTAACTATTCAGTTTCGATTAAAATATCCGAAATCAAAATTAGATGGGAAATCTTACGACAAATCGCTAATGCTATCAATGCTTCGAGCAATGCTGACAATATGTTCATTTTTTAGAATTCTCAAAATCCTTTCAATTTTATCTTTCGATGCACCATACTACAAGTTATGATTATCAATAATCATTTTTGACTATCAATAATCATTTTTCAAATAATTTTTTTCTTTTTTTTTTAAGTGTCGAGTCATAAACATTACATCGTATAGAGCATAATGTTTAAAATTTAATTTATTTTTTGGAAATTAAATTATGTTGATAAGTTAATTGTCTAGTTTAACCTCTGACCCAATGCCACATTTTGTAAATATGACTTACAACTTATCTTTTATTTGTGTCTATATCTGTGTACACGTAAAATAAAAAATAATAAAGGTTAATAAAATTAACGAATGGCATAAATTGATTTTGGAAAGATTCAAAGTATATCATAAATTTTTATGAGAAATTTTGCAAATAAAACTTTTAAAAATTATCGACATTGTTTTGAGCTTTCAAGAAACAGAAAAACAAGAAAAACAAACATGATTGGATGTGTCTTTGAATGCATTAGGTACAGTAACCGATTCATTTTTCGGTTTTCCGGTTTCTTCCATACTCGTCTTCATCATGCTCTTCTCTTCCCAAATAAATAAACTAACACGCCAATAAATCTTAATTAATGGTAACTAATGCCATGGGAATGACCTTTCTGTGACAATACCAACTAGATAAAATAACCATTCATATATTCAACTAATCATTTTATAATGTCCTTTTTGTGCCAGTGAACAAAACAATAATGAAGCACAATGATGAGCGTATGCATATAGTGGAATATTGAAATTTGCATAAATTTATAGAAAATAAGAAATTTGCATCAAAATGAAATCTCCAACTTTCTTTTAATCAGAGCTGTTTTGTTAATCATCTCATAGATATCAATATAGGTTTAAAACCAATGAATTTACTCACATCTCATTCAATTTCATCGATGAAATTTGAAAATTTGTATTTTATGCAAATTTTCAAAGTTTGCAAACAGACAGTCATGCACGTAGTTGCAATCTATTATCAAAAGATAATCCAGAATAATTTTATTGAACACATGGAAACAAGAGAGAAAGCATCAAAATATGCGATATTAGGCGGGATTAATTTGAAACGACTAATTTGCATAATTACTGTTTGAAAATGATAGGATAATTTTATTATAAATTTTTAATCAAAGTGCATGGTTTGGTTTTTACTTGATTAGGAATTTTGCATTTCATTTTGCGGTTTATAATTATATCTAAAATTGAAAAGCGGAAACTTTTCATCTTTTTTTTGACGTACTCAGCAAAATAAATGGATCAAATTGTTATGTTAGATTAATTTTTAGTATGTGAGAGAGTAGAGGAAGAGAAAGAAGGAAGTTTTATCATTTAGAAAATCTAAATAATTGTTTTGAATTTAAAGTTTAATGTTAATTTGATTCCAAATATCTGAATCATATATTGATACTAGAGATTATTCTTGCTAGGATACTAATTTAATCGTTGATTCCATTAGGTTATATTATCATTTAGTTCATAAATTTATTAATAACTTCATAAACTTGCAACGTTATCATTCTGTTAAGGATCGTTTTGTATCATAAAGAAATTGATTTATGATAATTAATATCAGAAATATTCTAATTACAAAGGCTTGTCAAATGAATTACAGTGCTGTATATTTCTTTGTTTTTTTTTTTACTTTTATATAGAAAATTATTCAAATTAAATATTTTAATATAAATATATTGCAGTTAAGAGAACTGATGCTAATATTGGGACAACTTTACTATGAAAATATTCCATTTCATTTTTTTTTCCTTTGCCAGTTTTGAGAGTATCATTTAATTGAACTTAATATTACTCTATAAAGGATTGAATATTATTATTAATAACAAAGTTCAAGATTGATTACGAATTTAAGGTTAACAAATCATGACACAAAGGTCAAAGGTATGGTCTATTCCGTTGTGGTCATTACATTCATATCGGTTACTGATTGCTTTCCTCCTTATGTCCGCCTCATTCTGTTCCAATTCAATGCGTATCAATCTCGGAATGGCTATTGTTTGCATGATTAATTCAACTGCATTTCTTCCAAATGCTAATTCAACTGCTTCAAACCTATTGAGGAAAGTTGACAAAGAATTTTTAACTTGCAGTGACACAAACAATGCTAAGCTCCTAAAAGGATATGAGGTAAAGTTTAAATTGTCAAGCATATATTTAAGGAGCTAAAATGAAAAGGTCATGTAATCTTTACAAGATTATGCATGCATAGAAATAGATTATTGATTGATTGATTCTAATTTTCGTTCTGAAAATTACAGCATCTAATATATTTGTTTATTAGATCAATATGATGAAAAATTTTTATTTTTTTTTTCTACAATCATTTCTCCAGTAATACAGGGAACAATATTATGGACCTCAAGACAACAGTCAATTTTATTTTCGGCCAATCATTATGGTGGCCTACTAAGTACTCTTCCGGGAGGTATACTAGCAGATTATTTCAATCCGAAACTTAATCTTCTGATTGCAATCGCTGACATGGCTTTTTTTACATTTCTGATACCGGTCTTAGCAAAGTGGAGCTTTTATGCGACATTTATGGCTCGGTTGGTGATAGGATTTGGTGAGGTAAGTAAATACTTTGTTGATGAGTTTCATATTTATGGATATTCTCAGTATATATGGATATTGAGTAATGAAAATTGGTAGGAAGTTGAAGTGATTAGAATCCAATTATATCATCATTACTTATGATAGGCTTTTATCCTATCATCAATGGCGTCAATATCAGCACGATGGTTTCCACCAACAGAACGAAGCACAGCAGCTGCAGTTTATACATCTGGAAATCAGATAGCTTTATCACTCATTTATTGGATTGGAGCTGAATTATGCTTAGTTAAATTTCTAGATGGATGGCCTTTGATCTTTTATCTTCTTGGTTCGTTACAACAATCAAAATAATCCATTATCCATCATTAATTGAATCCGTAAAATTTCAAATTTATTAAAGATTAATGAAATAGGTATGCAATATTAATTGAGTAATATGTGATATAATCAATAAGTTTATAATTACCGAAAAATAACCAGAATTATTTTCAATATGATAAATTCAATTTTAAAATATATCTTGAAAGACATTTTAATCAACAACAAGTAAATGCTTAAAAATCGATAATTTATAACTTTTCTCCAGGTTCGATATCAGTTTTATGGATGATATTATGGATTCCGTTTGGATCCAGTTCACCAAATGAGAATAGATGGATTTCAAATGCTGAGCAAGAGTATCTGAAAAGATTTTTTAAAAATCCACAACAAAAGGTATCCTTTCATTTGCTTAATAATCAAAAAAAAAAAATTCTTAATTTCATTCATATAAGCTAAAACATTTGCGCATTTATAGCTAAGCGGTAATTCAATACCATGGGAATCAATTATTCGATCAATGCCGGTTATTGCTAATACTGTAACAATGTTTAGCATTAGTTTCCATGCTACCATAATACAATCCTTTTTACCGACCTATTTCAAGGATGTTTTGCTCATTAATCTCAGAAAGGTTCCACATTTAAATTACGAATTATAGTTCCAGTATATTATGTGGTACTATAAGTAAGTAAAATAGAATAATATCATCATTATCATAATACAGTAATGCTAAGATTACAGTATGACTACTTCATTAAACTGTACAACACATCAATAAGGCTAGGAATGCAATTCAGAATTGAATAATAGAAATATAATACAATTTTCAATCTCATCTTATAATACCAATCCTCATTAATGAATAGATTTGCTATAAAATTCATAGAATTACTAAATTAATCGAAAAAAAATCGAACAAAATGGAGAAGGAAAAAAAATATTTGAAATATTGATCAAACGAATTTTGATGTGAAAGAATATTTTTTGTGACAAATTTTACTTGACACAAAAAAGTTTTATTCTCTTTTTCACTTTCTTTTTACAACGACGAAAAACCTTTGGCATTTTGCAGCTAATTAATCGATTAATTAATTATTATTTTGTATGTAAAGTCTAGGACTTTTAAAAAATCACAAATTTTTAACGATTATTCTAAAAATTGAAGTATATTTTTGAACGGTTTGTATATGACAATGCCATTCATTGCACAATTAATTATGAAGAATGTAATGGGTATTTTATCGGATCATTTGAAGAAACGAAAATTGTTGAAACCAACGATAGCTTGTAAGATATTTCAAGTTACAGGTATTACTTCATCTTTTCTTATCCATTCGTTCACTTACGTGTTTTACTTGACGTAACTGTTATCTTAACTTATTATCTCTTTAGAAATATTCTTTAAAAAGAAAGAATTATTTATCAAATAAGTAAATATGCGCTCTATGAACAAATAGGTTCCAAAAAGTGGCAAATATCATCTTTTGAATTTTGCAATTTTTAAATCTTCTCATAAATGGGTTTGTCTTATAAGTGGTTAAGAATGCGCTTTGATGCGACATTAGAGCTTGCTCGAATCATTCATCGTAGTAAAAGTGGTAATTGAGAATAGCAATAAAAATGTACTCTTTATAAAGAGATCACAGAGAATGACAAGATCTTAGAAATAAGATGGATGGATGAATGATTTGACTTTAATCATTAATCAAATTAAATTAGTATTTTCATTAATTGCAATGATGCACTAAATGATGATAACATACAAATAGAATTTTCAGGTAATTTGGTGCAAGCTTTGTCGCTTTTTATGTTGGCATTTTTTGTGAATTGCAAAAAAGGAACGTTTGCAGTTGCATTACTTGTCTTGCAAGGTAAATCTTTCAATTTTTCAACGAAAAACTTTGTTACTGTTAAAGTATTAAAAACTAAAACTTTGTTATCACAGAATGTGTTTCAGATTCTTTTTTTTTTTTTTATGCATTATTTACACATAAAAAGTTACAAAAGATTCTCAAGATATACAAATGCTACTCTTATCTTTTCGTATATTATTCTTTTAGTTGATTAAAATATGTCATAAATTCAGGTGTAGCTGGAGCATGTGTTGTACCTGGTGTCATAACAAGTTCTCTTTCGATTGCACCATCTCTTGCTGGAACGATAATATCATTGGTATTGTTTTTTGGAAAGATTGGCAGTGCTATATCACCTAATGTGGTTGCTTTATTTAAAAAAAATGTATCACTTCAAAAATTTTACTTTTCAGATTTATAAATGATTAGATTAGGTTGTGTACAATTTGAATTTTTCTTCTTATTTGTCCAAATGATTTCTCATGGAAAGTAAAATTCTTCACATTTTTCTCTTTACATAAAACTTCTGCACATATTTCTAAATTTCATATCAATTTGAACATCCGTAAATTTTCCGGATAAAACCTAATCCTATTCTTACATTTTTTTTTTCAGGGAACACTGCAAGAATGGTCGAAAATATTTGCATCATCTGCACTTCTCCTAATATTTTCTGCTTTATTTTTTTTGATATTTGCTTCCGGTATGTCTATGCTAGTAATTTAGCAGCACTAGAATTAAATAAATTCATTAAAGCTATAATAGGAATTTTTAAAAAAAAATTTAAAAATTGCAACTTGACAAGTTTAACGATTAGTTGGTAAAACTGTTTTCGGCATTGTGGAATAATTATATAATAAGATTTAATTAAGTAATGATTTAATTTGAAAACCTTAAATAATTTAGCGGAGCAACAAAGTTGGAGTTTTGAAAAAATCACAACGCTCGATGAAGAATTTGATGACAAGGCAGTTGACACTGCTAACAAGCCAAGGTCTAGCTGAATAAAGACAAGCATATTCTGATACCATTCAAAAATCCTAATTCTCTTTGTAAAAAATATTTTCGACTTGTCTTTTCAATATAGAAACATGTAAAGGCCTATCAATCTTTTCAATATAAAGGCATGAAATAATTAATTTATTCATCCTGAACTGAAAATCAAGTTTTGATTTTGATCCAATTTCCAATGGATCTTTTCCTTTCCGGTAATTTTTTTTACAAAGCTTTATTCTTGTTTGCTTTCTTCCAAGTCCTGAAATAGAATAGGGCGATAGTTTGATAATATTCAGAAAGCTACACTGGTACGGTCGATATATAATCGATGGAATCAGAATCATTTATGCATATTGGCTGTACAGATATTAGTCCATTCAATGTAGAAGAAAAACTTTATGCTCATAGTTCTAAAAATTCATTCACTTGTTTCCACTTCAGTTTCACGTGTTCGTATAATTTTCACTTCGATTTCACGTGTTCATGTATTTCCATTTCAAATTCACGTATTCCACTTTCTTGCTCGCTTTCCTTTGTTCAGGTCGGCTTTTTGATATATTTTTGAATATTCTTCAACATTTTAACCATTTTTTGATAGGAAAATGATAACTGAAAATGAGAAAGACTGAAATAAATTAATACAAACAACTGTCCTTTAATGTCTCATTTTGATGATGAAGAATTCCTAAAGATGAATATAGTGTTAAAGTGATCGATAGTCGGAAGAATGTATTTATTGTTGGAATTATTGGATACTATCAACGAATGCCACAGTATAGCTGAGTGAAAGGACAGATGTCAAGAAAAATCAAGAAATAGAATTCCCTGATGTACCTCGACATCTCGTATGAGCATAAAGGCAACAAGAATCCTGAAGTCTAGATTCTAGCTTCTTCATATAGTGCGGATGATTGAGAAACTACATGGAAGATAATTGTTAGACCAAAGTTGCTTTGCAGTATCCCGTATTAGTTGTTTACAACAGGATGTCTTCTTTTTTTTTAGCAACATTTAAACTATTGCGATTGTGATTGATTGACACTTTTGAAAGATGAAAGTTGGACAAATGACTCATCAATTGAAAGTGTAATGAATCATTTGTTGTAGAAATGTTCCAATTCACACTGCTAATTTTTATATTTTCTAATTAATTTGGTTTTTTTTTTCGACAGAAATGATTGAAAGTAAATGAAAGTAAAAATGAATTTTTTAACGATTGCTTTCTTTTTATTCCATTATCAGATAAATTATCATAGAAAATTAATTAAGCAATTCAATTCTCTTTTTATTTTTAAAATCAACAAAAGGCTCCACAAATTTTTTCAAATTGAAAAGTATAAAGTCAAAAGAAATTATCGAATCGATTGATAGTTACTTTCCTGTCTTTTTATTCTATGCAAACTATTAATTGAGAAGAAAAGAGAAAAAAACATTAGCAGTTCAGGTACTACCTGATATTACCTGAATGTAATTACCTAAGCCTAGTGTAGTAATGGTACTACCTGACATTACCTGAATGTAATTACCTAAGCCTAGTGTAATAATTACTTTAAAATCCATAAAATGTACTTATTTATTTTATGAAATTTCATAAAAATGACCCAAAAAAGACTTAATTAAAATCGTTTTAGTTCAAAACGAAATTTTTATTTGATTTTTCATAAATACTTTGCAATGAAAGCGTTGATTTAGCATCCGTCATTATAATAATGAGCTATTGATTCAACGGTCACTACTGTTTTTTTGATTCAATGGATCTTAACTGTCCTATCATCAATTATAAAACTGTCACATAATAATAGCTATGACCATTTCACCGTTTTAATAATAGTTTAAAAACAAAGCAATAATATATGTAAAGTAACGGTTAAATAGATTACAAGGTTACCTGTAATATGTAAGTACCACTCAGCAATCAATCACTTTATGTTGTAAAACAATGAATGAAAAGTTAATTCAAAAATTCTTCATTTTATCGCATTTTAAAAATTGTTTTCATTGTAAATATGCAGATAGAATAAATTGAATAAACTTGGATAAATTTAGGTAAATCATTTTTAAATTATTTTGTATTGTTTTGCATTCATTTCAAAAAAAGTTGGTTTATGTTTAGATTAGTCCGTTTTATGGAGAAATAAATTTAATTTCAAATGAAATTACCATTAGTTTGATGCTTATAGATAAAGCTCCATGGATAGAGGATATGTTATTCAAACATCTACGATTGTTTCATCTTTGATCAGTACCACATATGCCAATAATTTGTTAAAATCGTTTGGCTTCCAAACAAAACTTCAAACATCGTTGACAGTCTCATTTATCATTTATTGGATCGGATTAATTATCTTTTTCGCCTCTGTTGCTCTAATTTTTTGTAAACTTTTCCATTTCAATAAATAATTTAAATGTAATTTCAGTGTAAAATCATATATTTATTAATAGTACACATTTGAATACTTTTATCTTAGTATGACAATTTTTGTTTAATTTTAAAAATATATATTTAATTAGACTTTTTAGGCCAATCTCAACACTTACCCTAACAAATCAAAGAAAGCATTTACATAGATTTCAATTCTTATCAATCCATCTTAATCACTTTATCTCATATTTCTACTACTAAATGTATTTGCATTATTTAATTAGAAAATCATTGTACACAAATAATTATTCTAAAATGTAAGCAATCAAAAATAAAATAGACAAAAGAAGTTTTTTAATTTTATAAACAAGCAATTAAGAAAAAGAAAAAAAGGAAAAGGGAGATTCTTACGGAGTTGTTTATGTTTTCATCATATCAATAAACATGGTAGAAATTTTCCTAAATCCGTCTATTATAAATTTCAATTTAATTTAGACCGGTTTATGAAATATGAAGAAACTGTAAGACAATTTCAAGTTGAATCATCAAACAAATCTCTTCAATTAATGCAATCCATACGTACACAAATGATCACTCTGAAATACAAAAGGTAAAAAATGGATAGACAATTTTACTTCATAAATAAAATCATCAAAATTTCATTCTTTCACTTTCAGGACATTAGCGCTTTTCTATTTCCTAATTTCCAGAAAAAAAGGAAATGTTAATTTTTAGTTTTGATACTGAAAGTTCTGCATGGATTAATGCGTTAAGTCGTTTAAATTTTATTAGCTATGAGCTATTTCATGGTTATAGGAAGTTTTTTAGCATACAAATTTTGCTTCAGGACATTAGCGCTACGGGAATCGGCCAAAAAAATGCTTCCTTTGGAAGGAATCTTACAGAAAAAGACTGAAGCAGATGAAATTCATCGATCATAAATAAAACATTTCCAATGTATTCGCTCATAAAAAATTATCCTTATCAAAATCATTTGTGGATATCACTTCACATTTTAAAAAAACATCAAATGAAATCAAATTTTGTAAGTAATGACAAACAAATTTGTACAAAAAAAATTTGTAAGTAATGAATTGTTTGAAGAAGTAAATGACTATAGATGGAATGATATGATAATAACATCAAAATCATTCATTAAATCTTCTTCCGTCCTTTTTTCTTTGGTCCTTAATATGAAGCTCTTTTTCTACATTTAAAAAAGAAAAAGAAAAAGTGAAATTCTTTGGAATTCTATATCAAGGATAGATGCATCAAGAATGGGTAAACGCGGGATAAACTATGAGATATACTATCCACCTATTATTGATTGTATAATCCATGATATTGTTTATTTAGCAGGTTTAGTTGCGAAATCTTTACGTTCTAAAAAGAATAAATTGACGAATGTATTGGGTGAAATGAACAAATGTGAGGTAATGAAATACTATTGTTGCGCAAAAGTCTTATTAAGTTTAATTAGCAACAAATTGCGCATAATAGCAAGCCATAATTTAATGTTAATATGAAATAATCATCTGCTATAAGTGAGAATTTGCTTTTCATATGATTCAAAAAGAATTTCTGAATCATATGAAAAATTTGAATTGTAACAATTAACATTAGCAATGATTGTTACGCTGATTACTATTATTGATTGAGTGAGCATTTAAAAAGTAATTCAATCAAAAATCAGTGGAAAAAGGAAAGTCGAGAGTAAAGAATGGCTGAGATAGTTGCTAAAGAAAAAAAGCAATGATCAAAGATAGTTTTAAATTCAGGAAATCCAAGAAGAATGTCAGAAATGAATTTTATGTCTATACGAATTCACTCTTTCCAATGCTTCAATGAACTGTCAAATTGTCATCAATAATAATGCAAATATTCTTTTCTCATTTAAATTTATTTATTAAAATGGCAACATTCTCATTGTTTTACGTTGAAATTGAAACTTAGCAAAGAGTAATTCATTTAGGTTTAAAATTTATTAAAAAAGAAAACCATTGTCAACTGAAACATTTCAATTATTCCTTATCGTTTTGTTTTTTCCACTTACTTATTTCTCTTGTATATTGCCTTTTTTCTGATTTAGAAATCTGCAATAAGCAATGGAAACAGAAAACTTTCATGAAACCAGTTCCAGTTTAGGCTTTTATTGATTTAACAGAATGCTTATTAGAGGGGTTAAAGCTAGAGCGATATCGGAATGCTTTCGAACTCTGACTTTTTGTTCTTGATTAATGAAGGCAGATAAATCCTTTCGCAATCGAAAAATATTTAAAATTTGCGAACAGCGGCATTCGTATCATTGCGTGAATGAGAAAATCACACAATAATATGAAAGCCGCCGTCTCTTTCACGCAATGATATGCATGCCGCCATTTATTTCACGCAATAATACGCATGCCGCCATCTATTTCACGCAATGATATGCATGCCACCATCTCTTTCACACAATGATATGCATGCGTCTCTTTCACGCAATGATATGCATGCCATCTATTTCACGCAATAATATGCATGCCGGCGTTTGTTTCATGTAATGATAGAAATGCCACTGTCTCTTTCATGCAATAATACGGGTGCCGCAATCTCTTTCACGTAATGAAACGAAGCCGCCATCTCTTTCACACAATGATACGCATGCCGCCGTTTCTTTCACGTAGTAATACAAATGTTGCCATCCGTAAATTTGAAATATTTTTTAAAATAGGTATTGCTTTGGCAAAAATTAACGATAGCATTTATTTTTTGTTTTATTTGCTATAAGTAGTAAATTCAATAAAATGCTTGATATTTTAAGTCAGAATTACGGCTTATCTTTGATTATCTATTTGAACTGCTAATAGCCATTCTAGAATTAATTAATTAAATAGCTAGATAGTGAGAGGCAAAGCTTTTTCTATTGTCAAGGGAAAAAGGTTGACAATGTTTGGAAGAGCCAACCGGAGGAATAAATGGAAATTATAATCAATGAGATAAGATGGATTTCGCATCATCGACAGATCAGACTTGAAAGAAATTTATCGAACATTCTATATTGGCAGTACTAGCAAAGTAATCATATTCAAATATCTTTACCTATTTCTAAGTATTTTGTTATATTCCGATAATTAAATACTGTGCCTTTTATATTCATTGGTTTGCTGTGAATATTCTTAATATTAATTCAAAGATATATCATTAGATACGGAATAAACGGCTTGTCTTAGATACTTAATTAGTGTTTCATCTAATTAAGCTTACTTGTCTAGATGAATTAATTGGAACAAATATGCACGATTAATGAAATTTGATAAATCATTTTAAAAAAAGAAGAAATTATTTTAAAAAAAAGGAAATTTCAAAAAAACTTGTACATCCATTGAAAAAAAGTATTGAGAAATTCATAAGATCAGATAAATGAAATTAAAATTTTCTTGCAACTCTAATTCCAAGAAATGCTTCTATCTTTCGGTTAGTTATTCATTAATTCATACCTTACTAACACTTTTCTGATTTGTCACATATTATTTTGCTTGGATGAAATTGAAAACAATTTGTTTTCATTTAATTTAAATTCGAATATCCAATTTCACAACAGTTTAACTTATTTTTCTGTTCATTTCTACAATCATTTCAGTAATTCCGTTCTGTTCAGATCATTGAAAATCGCATATGACAAATAAAAAATTATTTAATCCTATTAATAGAAGCGCTTCTGTCCTTCTTTCTTTTCTTACTCTATCATCAACAGTTTAAGCTTGAACAATCTGATTTCAAATGAAGTGAGAAATTTCCAACAAAAAATTAATTTTAAATTCATTTTGTTTTCAAACAGAATTACTTAAATGAGCTGAAAGTGTCATAGATTAGAGAAAAAATATATTATTAAATAAAGAAATCTCTGGAAAAGCTTACTTCCTTTTAGGTAATTTATGAAATTGAAAATTACAAAAATGATTTTTGTTCATTGAAAAGATTAAAAGAAAATTAAAAAAGTGGTAAATGAATGGATGAAATTGGATGATGTTAGATTGGATACAGATGCAATTGAATTCACAAATGACGGTCACTTCAAAGAGAAATGAAGTAAAATGAACCGTAGCAGAAACCCCTCATACATATATCATAAAGCTTTTAGAAATAGCGCAGAACGTCTGTTTGTATTGGCACTTATAGGATGGAACAGCTGCTTAAAGCTAAAATTTATTCCTTTCATCTATCTTTATTATTTCTTACTTAAGATAAAAGCAACTTACTCCACTCTTCTAACCTTTGTCATTTCGATACTTTCGTCTTATTTAGTAAATAAATGACACTTTTAGGTAAGTTGTCACCTATAGATGCAAACTTTTTTTTAAAATTTTTCCAATTAATTTCAAATTTGATAGATAGTTTTGCAAAAATTTATTTTTGAAGTTGTCGGAAGTGATGGGAAGCTTAGAACTTTCATTCTATTACTTTCTTTACATATCGTTTACACAAAGCTAAATTATCCTGAAACGAACTTTTTTTTTCTTGATGAAAATTACGATTTAATTAGAGAAAAATATTATTTTTTCCTGAATATTGTTATTGATCATGCTAACAAGAAGAGAATGATGACTTTATAGATATTGTAAGAAATAAATTAGTCAATTAATTAGCCAGTCATTAACAATCTTATCAGCAATTGACAGCACTTCAATGGGAATAAATGAGCAGTGCTTTGATGTAACCGCTGATTAGCGTTCATTCTGATTAGCGTTCATTATGACCATAGGTCATCATGTACTTTTAAGAGAGCAATAAGTAGAATATCTTGATCTTCTCATATTCAAAAATTGATGATACTTCACTTTTTTAACTATTCCTTATTCAGAATCATTCTGCTTTGCTTTTATATGTTAGCATTAATTTGACAATTAAACTTCCTTTTGGTTCATTTTGTTTCTTCCACAAATAGAATTAGATAAGAGCTTTATGAAAGTTTATGATTTGTGAATCCCAATAGGATTTGTTAATTAGTTAATTAACTTTGTCTAATTGACAGCATACAAGCCTTTTTTTCGTTTTGTTTTCTTTAGTTACTAAATTATATGGTTGATTTACAACGAACTTTATGTTCTTATGTTGATTGCATTCCGGAATATTGCATAATTCCACTAACTATATGTTACTATATCAGTTGCATTCCGGAATATGATATAATTGGACGGTCAAGATCGGTGACTAATGTTGGTCAATTCGCTTGACATATTTCCTTGCAGATGTCACTTTCTTAGTCATTATTCATTTTAATAGTGAACATATATGGTTCAATGAGTTGCCATAAAGGCTAAGTTTTCTTTTTCTTTTTTATAATATTTGAAATTTAACTAAAATTTTCAAAAAAAAAGTTATATTTCAAGCATATTTTCTCAGTTATTGTCTCATTTCAATAATATTTAATTAATTTATCTGAGGAATTGCTTGTAAATATTAACCAAACCTTTTTATAACTTTTTATTCTCTCCATATATTAACATCATTTCTTTCTTGTTTTATGCTATCGGTCGGTTATTTATTTCTGATTGGAATATTCCGAAATGCATTTTCCGGATAACGACAAGTCTATTCCGTTCCGTTCCTTTCCTTTCAATCATTTCGTTGTTGTAATACTTGATGACCCCAAATTAACTAAAAAACCAAGAATTTGATGAAATTTTCCAAACTTTTCTCAGAAATTACTTTTTGATGGCGACAATTTTTTTTTTTGTCTGTCACTAAAGTTGTAATTATTATTAACAATAAATAAGGATAATATGACTAAAGATGTAAAAAATCTGTTAATAACTTCTTATCATTTTTTAAAATTGGTTGATTAATTAAACAGGTAATGTTCTTTTTATTGTTAGATTTTCATGAGAGAGGGAGAGAGAAAGAAGGAGAAAGAGAGGGAGAGGGGAAAAACTCCAGTGAAAAGTTTGCATGAACTGGGAAAACTGATCATTGATATTTTGGGAAAAAGTTTTTATTGCTTACATCATTACTCCCTTAAATAGTTTCAAAAAAAAATTACACAATGAATAAGTTATGGAACTTGACTGGCAAAACCATGGAATGTTGCATTTTTTTAAAATTAGCGAATAAATCCGAAATAGACTAATCAGGAAAAAATACTGAATCGAATTTCCGAAATTAAAAAAAGAAAAAATGGAAAATTGCTAATTTGGCAGGTACCTTCAAAACAACGCAAATCTATAATAATAACTTTAATTTTATGGGTGAATTTGTTGTATATGAGTACGATGAATGTTAGGCTTATCCAGAAAAGCGGAATACTTTTTAGATGAAATAATCCGGTATGGTTAAGAGTAATGATTGCCATTTCTGTCAACGAAACTATATTAATTCTCAATTTCATTTCAATTTCTTCTAAGCAAAATAAAATCAACTGATAAGTATTTTACAAAAAAATCGGTAAAATATTATCTTTCTTCATTTCATTGCACAAATATTCCCAAATGTTTATCTTTCACGCCAATTAATGCTTTTTTTTGTTTGATTTTTTTTTAAATTTCCTTCTGAATATTGTGAAAATTTTCGAATGTTTTTAAAATTTCAAAAAGAAACTTTTCGATTTTAGCATTTTTTTTTAGTGATAAAAGCTTTCATTTCTCCTGAATCTTTTTTTCTTTCAATATTTTAAAATTAAACAATCATTTGTTATTTTATTGTTGAAAAAATTGTCATCACATATGATATCATCAGAATCAAGCAAAACTTATTAGTCACAGCATTGTTATTTTATTAAGGATTTAACTATTTTCTGTTCAATCTTTATCATCAAAATTTAATAAAATATTTATTCTGAGGATGTCGGATAAGAAGAAAAATTTTATTTTTATATAATCATTTCTTCCATTTTTAGAATTTGATAAAACATCGATGTGATATCAATTCAATGATTAAATTCATACAGGTAATCAAATTCAATTCATTTTCAATATTTGCATAAATAATATAACTAAGCTTTCTTTATTTATATAAAATATTTTAACGTTTATATTTATTCATTTATTTCCTTATATTATTTACAAATTTTTTGAAAAACTAAAGTACAAATTTGTCATAAATATTTATGTCATAAATGTTTGAAATATTATTTCATTCCTCAATGAATAAATTTTAAATATAGTTTTCATGCGCTATTAGCAATTTTAATTAAGCACACTTTTGTCCATCTTCTATCCTTTAAGCTCACTCTTTTTCAGGTTCCATTTTTAGCAGAGTTTTATCTTTCTAGATAATTACGACAAGTTGATATTAATGAGAAGTAAGAATTAAAAAGAAATAATGGAACTGTAAAATTAATTTACAATTGCATGGATATTTTTAAAATAAAAAATAAAAGTTTAAAGTATTAAATTAGTGAATAATTATGAAAAAGTTTAAAATATTTTTTATTTGTTTCGAAACCAACGAAAAAAAGCGCAAATTTAGATATTATTTTAATATTATTTCACGTTTGTGGAAGAAATTTCAAATGTACTCTGATATTTGAGTATTTTTAGGTCCTATATAAAATAACATTCTGCGCAGAAAGCATTATATTTAACAATTCATTTTCTGCTATCATTAATTAATTACTATTTCAGATGTGTAATGTATGATGCTCATTCAAACTGTATATATTTTCTTAATTACTGCATATTTGGGTGGATGTGAAGTTGACACTAATGTATGTTTATCCTTTTTTCAATAATTTGTTAAATGATGAAAATTTAATATAAACATTCAAATTATTTAAACGAACAATGACGAATTCATTGATGGCATTTCCCTAAATATTTCATAAAATTTGTTTTTTTTTTCGGAATTAACTTTCACTTTCTTCCTAAAGTTTACTTTTTGAAAATGAATTAAAAATTTTACAAACAGAGAAATTGGAATATTGAAATATGGAAGAAGTTTGATAGAGATGATAATTTTTATAGAAAATTATCAGTGAATTGGAGAATGATAATGCAGTGGAGAATTATACAGCAATAATGCAAAGGATTGCACCATTCATTGAAACAATGCAAATTAAAGTTCATACTAATGAAGAAATTTTGAATGAATTAAATGTTTGTTTTGTTTATTTGTTCCTACGAAAAAAAAACATTGTCAAATTAGGTGACATGTGACAAATTATTCCATTAACCTAATGTGACATTGTTAATTATTGGTAATATATTATTCGTGACACATAATACTTTGCTTCATTTAATTTATTATATTTTTGATTTGAAAGAAAATTTTTTTGCAGAATTTACATCAAAAATATCCGCATATAACGTATTTATACGAGATCGGCAAATCTGTACAAGGCAGATCACTGACTGTATTAACTATTGGGAAATTCCCAATGAAACATACCCCAGGAATACCGGAATTTAAATATGTTGCTAATATTCATGGTAATGAGGTAAATATTTTATTTTTTGCATTTGTAAAAGTTTTATACATGTAAGAATTAATGAGAAATTATTAGTCTTCCTATTTTCTAAATTTATTTCGGAAGTAAATTAATTATTTAAGGGAAAAGTAAGTCTTGAATTTCCTGAAACAGTAGAAAATTGAATTAATTAAAACATTTCAGATATCAGGTAGAGAATTATTGCTTTGCTTGGCAGATGTTCTGGTCGTAAATTATGGGAAAAACGAAATGCTCACAAGACTGGTAAATAGGACACGAATTCATCTCTTGCCAACAATGAATCCGGATGGATTTACGGAAGCTATTCCTGGAACTTATGGTTGGCTTCAGGTTATCTCTTTACAACATATAATATATGGGAAATTTAAAGAAGTAATTCCAACAATTAAAATTAAGTCGTTTTTTCATCTCATTAAATTTTAGTCAACATTTTCTGAAAATCAATTTTTTCTTTTTTTGTAATCGAGCATGTTTTATACAAGTATAGAATATTGTCGGAAGCATTCCGGAAGTACATATTGCTAAAAAAAAAAATAACATTATCAGTTTTGTGTTTACTGATTCTAATAAACTGATTTCAATTGTTAATGAAGTTTGCAAAATCAAATGATTCGAATTTAAGGGTCGAACAAATGCTGCTGATATTGACCTGAATCGAGATTTTCCACAACGGTTAAATCCAACAATGATCCGAAATGTTCAACCGGAAACTCGTGCTATTATACAATGGACAAAGTATGGAATATCAATTAATAAGACATGATGCTGACCTATCAGTAATCAGGGTCAGGGTTAACACTAATAGCACTAATATGAAAAGAAATAATTCAGAGAATTTAGAGCAATACCGTTTGTATTATCAGCAAATTTACATGATGGCTCAATGGTGGTTAATTTCCCTTATGATGATGGGAAGATCGAAGATATCGAAGCAAAGACTGGTGATCATGAACTTTTTGTGGTACTTTCTTATTTATATGCTCGAGCACATAAGTATATGTGGAAGAAGGTAAATGTAAACTATATCAACTTCCTATTAATAACTGATAAATAGGATGCTTCAATCTATCTTGGTACCATCTGTTTTCTGATCCTTAATTATCCCTTGAATCATATTTCAAGACTTTTCCTATCCTAACGGACAATTTATTTTCTTCAATATTCGTGAAAATTTATTCTTTAGGGACCAAGATGTATAAATCAGCATGATGATGATGATCTCAATGAAGGAATCACAAATGGTAATAAATGGTATCGCGTTTCAGGCCAGTTTTTCTTCCCTTTTTTTTTTTTTTTTTTGATATCTCCCAATAACAGCGTTATTGATAATATTTAAATATTTTAAATAATACATACAAGTTGAGGATTTAAAACAAAATGCTTACTGATAAGAGCAGTGATAAAAATAAATTTAAGGTGGAATGCAAGATTGGAATTATGTATTTGCAAATTGCTTTGAATTAACAATTGAAATGAGTTGCGTGAAGTATTCAACTGATGATCAATTAAAGCAAATATGGAATGAGCATAAATTTGCCTTAATTTCTTTTATTGAAAAGGTAATATTTTAATTTTAACTTCAATAGACATTTCAATTTCAAGAACGATAGAAAAGTATTGAAATATTACAGAAAATACGATAAACAGTAAACGGTATTAAAAGTATTATTATTAGTTAATTTCTTGTGTTAAATTTATTGTTATTAATTAATTTCTTAACATATTTTTCTTTCCAATTGTAATTATAATTTGAATATTGTTGAAAATATGCACCTTATCAGTGCCAAAATTTAATACAAAGTATTATATCATGTAAATTTCGATCCTCCGACTCTTATTTCCATTAATTGATTCCTGGCAATAGTTTGATTACATGGCTAAACTTTTTTCCAGATTCATAATACGATTTCTGGCTTTGTATTGGATGAAATAACTGGAATCGGAATACCGGATGTTCAAATTTCGATCAACAATGTCGGCAAAACTGTATTAAGTAGTACTGATGGTGACTATTGGCGTTTAATAATACCCGGTACTTATAATGTCAGCTTCCAACATTTCCTGTATGTAACAGTCGTAAAATTTGTGACAATAAGCAAAGAAAAGCCTTATGAATTCCTTAATGTGACAATGCCCCGCAAAGAGTATATTAAAAATTTTCATTTAATTAATTCCCAAACAAGCAATGTTTCTGCTACCTTTATAATTTTGATAATTTTTCATTTTCTTCCGAATTTACTTTCATCGATTCATTAACTCTTCCAACCTTTCATTACAAACAATAAGGCAAATACAGTACTATAATGTCACCTCATCAAATTCGAATAATAATGCAAAAATTTTAATAATGAATATTTGGAATTTCAGTAGTGAATATTCAAAGTTTAAAAAATCTTTAAAATTTTCATTTCATGGGTGACAATTTAATCGATGTTTCTTCTTGTTTTACAATTCATTACTGTTTCATTATTTCATTATCATTTAACATAATGCACCTTTGTCTGTTATTTACAATTTCTTGTCCACTTGCTTTATGCCTGAAATTTTATCGGATGGTTGGAGTAAATATTCTTCTCCAACCTATTGCATAATTTATTTTTTTATACCGTAATTTCAATTTTAAACTTTATAATTTCGGTTTTATAATTAAGAAGCTTTAAAATCTTTTCAAATGCAAAATTTTTTTTTTTGAAAAAAATAAACGTCTTAATTCAAAATTTTTATCTTAATGAAATTTAATATACGATAAGGAAGAAATTCAAAATCCACGTGGAAAGTAACTATTATGTTAAAAAAAATCCACGTAGAAAGAACTATTAAAGTAACTATTATGCAATTATTCCACTGAAAAATCATTTCTATTGTTCAGTTTAAAGTAAGGCATAAATTTTTGGATTTCAAAATTTAAATTTTATTATTTATAAACCATCTTCAGCATTTATAACAATTTGATCCGTAAAATATCGTAAATTCCACATGATTCGAAAGCACTCACAACATTTCCAACAAATTAGGATTTCCATTTCTAAACTGGTAATGATAGAATCTCTTAAGTACATTTATAAACAATGAGAAATCCAGTAGCTATAGTGTTCTTAAAACTTTTTCAACTTGAAAAATGAAATTCAACCTAAAGGATACCTCTTGGCTTAGGCTCATTTCGCAATCGAATTATTTTTGATACGTAAAGCAAATAGAATTTTTGATAAAATAATTCAGTGGAGGAATAAAGAGAAATTAGCAATAAACTCATTTTGGGAACTTCGATCAGTGAAATTTGTTTTTCCATTTAAGTATATGTCGTAGTAAACGATGACAGAGATATATTCCAATTTGTCAAATGAATATCAATTTGTCCAATTATTTATAATGTAAAAAAAAAGTAAAAATTTTAACAAACTGAAGTAATAGAAGTAAACTTAAAATATATTATTTACAAGTCTTTTATTTATAGGCGAAATGAAAATTGTTGGTGGTAAAAATTAAAAGTCACTAATTTATTCATTCATTATTCATTCCATTTCCGTATAACAAAATAAGTAAATATTAGCATTAATATAAATGCTTTTATCCTACCATTCTTGATGTCTTTATTGGTTTCATTTAATATTTCATTTATTCAATTCATTTATTTAGTTCGCCATTTATTATTACTATTATTATTATTATTATTATTATTATTATTATCATTATTATTATTATTATTATTATTATTATTATTATTATTATTATTATTATTATTATTATTATTATTATTATTATTATTATTATTATTATTATTATTATTATTATTATTATTATTATTATTATTATTATTATTATTATTATTATTATTATTATTATTATTATTATTATTA